GGGGAGGCGGGTGGCGGCGGCGCCAGCAGCCGCCACAGGCCGCCGCGCCGGCGGAAGCGGGAGTCGGTGTCGTGCGAGGAGGACATCATCGACGGCTTCGCCATCGCCAGCTTCGTCAGCCTGGAGGCGCTGGAGGTAAGCGGGCCCCGAGCACGGGCCTCTGGGGTTAGGGGTCAGGGCTGAGGTGTGTGTGTGGGGGGGTGTTGGGGTGCTAGGTGTGAGCAAGTTGCCGAGGTGGGGGGGTATTGGGGTGCCAGGTGTGAGCAAGTTGCTGAAGGGGGGTGTTGGGGTGCCAGGTGTGAGCAAGTTGCCGAGGTGGGGGGGTATTGGGGTGCCAGGTGTGAGCAAGTTGCCGAGGTAGGGTGTTGGGATGCCAGGTGTGAGCAAGTTGCCGCTCTGGGTCACGAGACGTGTGGGGATACTGGGGAGGGAGGGGTCAATGGGGATGTCACTGAGGGGGTCACTGTGGCGCGGAGGACCCCGGCGATCTGCGTGTCCCCTGGCGGATGGAACACGCCTGGCAGAGTCTTCGCCGGACGGGGTTCGTCTGAACTGTTGTCAGCTCGTGAGCCGTGCTCCTGATGGATGGGACACGCCTGTGTCTTGCTCTCTGCTCCCCGCCTGGGAGTCGCCCATCACCATGGCGCTGCAGCGGTCGGGGGGACCCGGGCCCCTGGGCTCAGGGGGGATCCCAGTTTTCATCCACGGGCCGTCGCCCCGGCTCCCCGTCCTCCTCCTGGGCCTCTTCCAGCTGAGCTCTGGGACACGGCGGAGTCTTTGACGGACGGGGTTCGTCTGAACTGTTGTCAGCTCAAGAACTGTTGCCGTGCTCCTGAGCGCTGAAGAAACCGCACAGTGGGCTCTGTGAGGGCTTGGGTCAGGCAGGGTCTGGGGGTCCCACGGTGGACCGGGGCTCTGTGTGGCTTGGATCACATACAGGCGCTCTTGAGAATGCACCCAGGCACAAACAGTGGTGGGAGGCTGGAACAAGCTGCCCAGACATGTTGCCGAAGCCCCGGACTTCTCGAGGAGCAGCTGCATGAGACCCTGCCCTCAGGACAGGAGACTTGACACGCAGGGTGGTGGGAGTGTGGAGCAGGCTGCCCAGACGTGAAGCTGATGCCCTGAGTGGACGAGATCGCCCCGGTCCTGTGACGCTGGGTCAGGGACACGGGGGCTGCGGCGTCCGTGAGCCCCAGCTCTTTGCCTGGATTGATCCTGCTGATCCCCGGCTGTCCCGTTACTGGAGCGCCCTGCCACGCCCCTCTCCCCCGGGATGGGCAATGAGCCACTGCTGTGGCTTACCCTATCTGCTCCGGCCCACCGGACCCCTTCACGCCCTCTCCCATCTGGGCCTGCACCCTGATCCCTCCGGACCACCAGACCCCTTCACACCCGGTCACTCCGGACCCCTTCACGCCCTCTCCCCGTCTGGGCCCGCACCCTGATCCCTCCGGACCACCAGACCCCTTCACACCCGGTCAATCCGGACCTCCGGACCCCTTCACGCCCTCTCCCCGTCTGGGCCCGGTCGTCTCCCAGTTCCCCCGCCCTGTGGACCTCGCTGCCGAAGGACCGGCCCGAATGGATCAGGACTGTTTCTTGCCGGAGCCAGGCCATCCTGCACATCGCTTCCGGACAGCAAGTCCGATCGGCTCCGTTTCCCCCGTCCTGGGGTTCTGAGCAGGACCCGGCTGGGGCTGGACGTTCCTCTGTACAGGGGCCGTGCGTCCAGCGTGCAGGAGTTCACTCTGGGGTCGGACACTCGCGGCCGTGCTGAGGGAGCTCTGGGCCTGGTGTTGAGAGGGATGGCTTTTCCACACGATCCCTGAATCTCCGAGTCAGTTGAAGGAAGCCGACCTGCAGAGTGGATCCCAGTTGGGACAGAGGTCCAGCAGGCCAGGTGGTCAAAGACCTTCCCTTCATCGGAGCCTCCCAGCCCCGGTCTCCTCTTGGTCATTCAGCGTTGTCCCGAATGTCGGAGATCCATGGACTCAAAGGGAACCGCTTCATCGCACAGACCTGTACCCCGCTTATTCCACTTATTTCTGAGTCAGCAGCCAACTGCTGCGGGGTACAGGTGGGAGGGGTGCTGTGTGGGTCACCCCAACATTGGGCATTCTGTCCATCTGGTGACAATTCAGTTCCGAACCCCAGAGCCCCATAAGTTACACCCCCTCAACCTTTAAGAGCCGAAAGCAAAATAGCACATCTCCCCAGACAGCTAAGTGCCATGAGTCTGGGATTAAAGGCAGGGCATCAGTTCTATCCTCCCCCACCTTCATGTTTAATGGACGCTCTCGCTAAGCTGGTGCTGCGTTGGTGGGAGTGTCCTTTTCTTCTGCAAGGAGCTGGGCCTTTTCTTTGCCTTATGAAAGGAAGGCAGCGGTTGAGCGGCAGCATCCTCCATGTTGAAGCTGAGGCCCGCTGTTGAGCCCGTCCAGGGCCCGGTTGTGCGGCCGAGATCTGGGCTGGAGCGAAGACCAGGTGTGTGTGTGTGTGGTCTGGGTTCTGGACCCTTGCGCAGAGCTGGCCGGTGACGGAGGGCTGCGCTGATGCAGGCAAGTCCGGAACCAGCACCCCCCCCCGTTACAGCCGGGGCGCAGAGGCCTGCAGGCGCGAAGCAGGGTCACGGTGACGGGGAAGTGTTCACCCGCACAGTGATGGGGTTCTGGTGTACCCCAGCTTGCAGGTCCCGCGTGGCGCACGCCGCGTGGGTGGGGCCTTCCAGTCCGCCGGGCTGCTGCGCTCCTGCCGGCCCGAGTCTCGCCTGGTACTGGCTTCTTCAGACAGGCCCTCAGCCTCCTGGGTGCCCGGGTTCGAGGAGTGCTGGGACCCCCCCCCCCAGTGGTGGCGACGTCCCGCGTGGATAATCTCGCAATCGGACGAGAGCTTCGCTCGCGTGTGTGCTCGACCCAGAGGGGAAGACTCCCTCCAGCGGCGGCGTATCGGCCCTTAATTAGACTCTCCCGGGAGTGTCTCTCTTGCTCTTTTCCAGCTCTGCTGTTCTCTTGGTTAGGGGTACAGCCCTGTCCTGGCCACTCTGGAGCCTAGTTAGCGCAGCTAGCTCCAGCCCCTGGAGAAAGGGCACACCCCTTGCAGAGTAACCTTGCGTGGCCTAATGGCCTGAAATCAAGACAGTTTCCCTCTGCGTTTACACAGTGTAACACACAACCCCTCCGGGTGAGAAGCACGTGCGCTGACGTTCTGGAAAGTCATTACGGATGAGGACCTGGTGAACTGGGCTGGACGGGGGCTCACGCCCCTGAGGTCGTCCCTGTTGGAATGAGTCGCGCTTGTGCGCGGATCGCTCTGTGCCAACGCAGCGCACCTGGTTCTGGTCCTGGTTCTTCCAGAGCTGCTCGAGGCCTGGGCCTCTCGGGGACAGTGATCTTCCTGCCCTCGGGCTGTGTGCCCTGGGTCCCCGTCATGCTGAAAGGTAGACGTCCTTCCCGATTCCAGTTTTCGTGACTGGAGAGCAGCAGGTTTTCTGCGTTTTTTTGCTCCCTCCGGTTTCCCTTCGGTCCTGACCAGTGCGGGGGTCCTGACTGCGGCCGAGCAACACCCCCCATTACAGAGCAGCGTTCTCCCCCCTCCACTGTGGGTCGTGTGCTCTGTTGTTTGCGTTGCAGCCGGAAGGTTCTGTCCCGGTTTGAACCGGCCACGGCCCGCTTTCCCCGCGCGGCATCTGGGTCCGGTGCAGTGCTGTGCGTTCCTCGCGCGCGGCTCGGTGTGGGCTCTCCTGGGCAGCGGCTTTCTTCCTGCTGCCTTCCCACACCACACGGGCGGCTCTTGACACGAGCCCCTGGACTCTCGGTGGCCTCTCTTGCTGTGGGCCTGCCCTTGCTCGGTCATCCATTTTGGAGAGGTGACTTGACCTAGGCCAAGACGGGCCCTGGCAGGAGTGTGTCTGCGTCTGCGCTGCCCTCTTGCCCTCGGAGCCCGGCGCTCGCTGGCACGGCGCGGTTGGAAAGTGGGTGATCCACGCAGGGTCTAGCTGGTGCCCCACGTGGCCTTGACTCTTCCAAGAGAGATGTATGGCCCCCGACACCCGTCTCCCGCGCTGCGGCTTTCCAAGACGATATCCCGAGGACCTCCGGTAGCTCCTAGCTGCCCAGGGTCGACTCTTCACCTGGAGCAGCGGAGAGCTACAGGAAGGGCTGCTTCTCCTCTGGAGTCGTCAGAACCGCTCCAGTTGAGGCTGATTGGCTTGTTGTGTGATGTGGGAGGTAACGGGTCACACAGAGCTGGTTTACCATTGCTCTTGCGTTCGTCCGCGTGTTCACCCTCGGTGGCTTTTCAGGATGTTGCGGAGGTTGTGTTGAGGTGTGTGAATAAAGGTCGGGTGGATTCCGTTGGCGTCTCTTATTTTCTCTCGGGCGGGGCCGCAGGGTGTGTGGCCGAGGGTGCGGACTGTAATGACGCTCGTCTCGCGGTTCTCTTCGGCGGCGGCGCGGTTCAGCTGGTGAAAGATCCAGTTCTGGCTCCGGGATCGAGGGTTTCCAGTCACGCGGTTAATGAGCTCATGAGTCCGACTGGAGCAGGTTCCAGACTCTCTCGGGTTGGGCGGGGGTCCCTGGTTCTGGTGGTCAGAGCAGCAGGAACACGGACTTCAGGCCCTGACTGTGTCCGAGACGGTGTCCGGGGGCTCTCGGACTCCGTTGCCATGGAGCCCAGCGTCTCCTGGTTTTGGCCTTGACCTGCGTGAGCTGGGCCCGGGTGCGGCCAGGAGCCGGTTATTCGTGTCCGACCCGGCTCTTGATCGTGACGTGACGTGCGGTCGCTGGGGGTGTGTGTGGAAGCGCTCTGCCAGTTTTTTTTTTGCTGAATCCAAGAAAAGTCTCGGACTTTCCACCTCCGGACGTGGTCGGAGGTGGGCGGGGAGGGGGGTGTGACGGACTGTCAGCTGTGTGTGTCTGAGAGGGCACAGCTGTGGCTGCTCCTTCCCCCTGTTCTTCCAGGAGAAACCAGGGCTCTAGTTTCCGGGGGGTGGGAGGTTGCGGGAGCCTGGAGTGAAATTGGGGTACCTGATCTCAACATACTGAGGCTGTCTGGTGTCGTGCGTGCCTCGTGTGCGTCTAGGAGCCTCTGGTTGATTCCTCTCTCCCACTGCGAGGGGCCTCGGCTGCTGTTCTATGTGAAACCGTGGCTCTAGTTTCTGAGGGTGAAATCGGGGTACCTGATCTCAACATACTGAGGTGTCGTGCGAGCCTTGTGTGTGTCCAGGGGCTTCTGGTTTGTTCCTCTCTCCCACTGTGAGAGGTAGCAGCTTCTGTTTTACAGGTGAAACCAGGGCTCTAGTTTCTGGGTGGAGGTGGTGGGAGCTTGGAGAAGAATTGGGGTACCCGAGTCTGGTGTGGTGCGTGCCTCGTGTGTGTCCAGGACCCTCTGGTTGATTCCTCTCTCTCTCTCTCCCTGTTGGTGTGTGTGTGTCTGCTGCAGAAGGACTGCTCCCTGAAGCCCCCAGAGCGAGTGGCCCTGTGGGAGCGCAGGGGTAGCAAGAGGAAGAGGGCGGAGGAGGAAGGGCCACGGTCGGACCCCGAGGACGGGGACCCCCTCCCCCCCCGGCCCCCCGCCGCCTTCTCCCGCCACGAGGGGGCCCCCGACCGAAGAGCCAGCAAGCGCCGGAGGAAGAGAGAGGTGAGAGGGCAGCGCCCTTGTCCCGCCCCGCGTCCCAGCCCGGAGGGGAAAGCTCGGGAAGATCCCGCTGCCTGACGCGAGACCCCTCCCGCTTCGTACCCGGGGTCTCGAGAGGCGTACTGGTACCCTAACAGAGCCCCGCGCTGCCGGAGAGCCCTGGTGCCTGTTCGTGATCACCACACTTACTGCAGAGCAGTGGTTACAGGGGGCCTGCAGGCCTGTCGTTTCACCTCTCAGGGTCAGAAAGAATTGGCATGGAGGAGTGCCTTCCAAAGCCCCGTGAAAGCAAAAAGTACACCGTAACGTGTAAAACCTCCAGTCTCCATCACGACGGAGGCACAGTTTCCAGATTTGCGCTGCGCTGTGTTCTGCGATTCACCAACAGTGAGTCAACAGGACTTCCCGAGACGAGAGCAGCCCTCTTACACTGTGAACAAGCAGGCTCGTGACTCCAATAGGAACAGTGCTTTCGGTTTTGAGGTGTTTCTGCAGACAAATAAAACTTACTGGCTAATTGCATGCGGATCATGTTGGAACGTTGCTGGTGGGATGTCTGCTGCACAACCTGTACTCATTCACTCGCACGTCCCGTTGCTTTAGTCATTACCGGGACTAGTGAGCAGGAAGGGCCCCAGTTCGTGGGGACTCGAACCCGAATCTGCGACAACATGCCGACTAACAGTACTTTCACAGTGTTCAGATTAAGCACAAAATGGGGAACTTTGTAAATTTTTTTCTATGTGGTCACGGAACTTATTTTGTTACTGAGATTTAACAGCCGCTCTGAGAAACTGGGACTGCAGTTCCTCCTTAAGATCAGTAAGGTGCGGAGGTGACCCTCTGCTGGGAGAATCTGTGAACTGGGGGCTGGGAAACCCGAGTGGAAGGTGTGCTTGTGTAGAAAGAGGGGTTTAATAAGGTCGGGATGAATGCCGCACAACCAGAAGTGTGGCGCTGCCCCCTGTGTGCTGCTCTGTGTGCTCAACTCTTTCTGTCCTTTTTTTTTCCTGTCATCTGTGCCCTGCCCTTGTGCCCTTTATTCTGTTCTCTACTCTGTGTCCTGTATCTTTCCGCCTGTGTCCTCTGTCCTCTTGAGCTGCCCTCTGCCCTCGGTGCTCCTGAACCCAGGAGGTGCCCTGTCCTGACAGTCCCTTCTCTCTGTGCTGTTGCAGGGTCCTGGGAGCCTGTTCCTGGAGACGGGCTACATCGTAAGTGTCCCTCCCCCCC